ACACACACACACACACACACACACACACACACACACACACACACACACAGAGTCCAGGAGGAAGGATGCAAAAACACTCCAATGAACAGATGACTGGGGTGCAGGGGTGGCTTGACACAGCATCTGGGCTTCTCAGAAGGTCTGCCCCAGGGCAGCAGGCAAGATGGCTTAGAAATGATTATTGGCTTGATTCCCCTGCTCAGAATCCATGGATCCTCCTTCTGGCCTGGGATGAAGTCCCAGAGCCCCTATGGCCTGCTCCTCCCTGCCCCAGCAGCATCTCCAGTTCCTCTTTTCTCTTATTACTCTGGCCTCTTTCCCTTTTGTGGAGATTTACTTGCTCCTTCCTGCCTCAGGGCCTTTGCCCATGCAGTGCTTCTGCCAGGCACTCTCTTCTAACGTCATCCTGTAGCCCCGTGGGTCATAAGCACAAGGGCCACCGGGTCCAATGCCTAACATGTAATACAGGCTCGGTGAGGGTTTGTTGAGTAAATGAATGAGTACACAGGCAGGGCTTCATGGGGAAGGTGGCATCTGAGTAAGATGTGAAAGAGGGTAGCTTTTATCTGTAAAGAAAAGGAAAGGACATTTCTCCCTTGGGGACAGGCAGGCTCGGGACAGGAACAGTCTGTTTAGTCGCGAAGAGACAGACTGAGAGGCAGGAGTGAAGGTGGGAAAGGTGAGCTGAGCCAGAAGAGGGCTTTGCCTTCCAAGACAGGAACAAACGTCCTCGGCACCCACTGAAAACCACTGATCCAGGGAGAGTAAGGTCAAAGCTGGTTTGGGGTGGAAATGAGTCGGCTGCAGGGATGGGTGGGCTGGGAAAAGAGGCTGTAGTCAAGGACTGGCTGAGGGTCGGAGGAGCCCCCACTCCTGCTGTGCTGGTCCTGAGGCAGGGCACACCTGCTCTGGCGGTTATCCCCAGGAGCTGGTGGGGAGACAGGCATCGATGAGGATCCTCAGTGGTGGGGCTCCTTCCAGAAGACTGGTGCCTTTTTAAGCACAGCAGGGTGGCTATCCTGAGTCACTGGAGGGAGCGAGAGGAGGGAGCATGGGCATCCCTGTCTCTCAGCTCCCGCTGTCGGAGAAGGCAGCATCCAGGGCCACACCACACCTGCATCCTGGGCCAGCCTGTGGCAGAAGATAAGCAGAAACAGTTCTGTCAATGCTCAGGAACAGTCTCCCTCTGTAGGGAGGCAGCAACCATGGTCAAGAGTGGAGAATCCAGGGACAAGGACCTAAGGGTAAAACCACTCAATAGCTGCGTACCTTTAGGCATCTTAGCAACTCTGACCTCCAGTTTCTCCAGCTGTGTTCTGGGGGCTGCTCCTGTCATTGTGAAGGTTGAGGTTAAATGACATATCTGGAGCCCCAAGCACAGGGCACACTGGAGGCTTAGGAAGTCGTGGCCATTATCATGGTTGGGTTTTTTCTCCACGATTTGAAATCTTAGCAGGAAGCTTGGGTTTCAGGCTTAAAAATGAAGAGCATGTCAACAAAACAGGATGGAACAAAGTCTTTTCCCAGCATGCCTCAGCATGTGGCACTGCCTTCCTGTGGAGCCCAGACAATGATGTGGCTAAAAGTCTTGTGCTTTCAAGCAGAAATAATCCCAATGGAAAGGAACCTCCCTATTGTTATCTCATGATAAAGCGAAGATGCAGGGGCTCTGCAGCCCACTAGCCTGTGTTCAGATTCCAGCTCTGATTCCTCCTCACTGCTCCGTGCCTCAGTCTCCTCATCTGCAAAATGAAGCAAGAACGTTAAGACAAATACCTGTATTTGTTAGTTTTTTTTACTCAAGAATTAAACGGGTTAATGCAGGTGAAGTGTTTAGCATGTGACTTTGCCACTACTATTGTGACACCATTTCATCTTTAACTCTTTGTAGTGTTCTGAGCAACTTGGAGGTTCTGGGGCCAAAAGTCTGAGTTCAAATTTGAGATCTGCCTTTTGCTAGCTGTGTAACTTGGGATGGATCTATTAACCTCTCTGTGCACCCATTCCCTGCTCTGTACAATGAAGACAATGATCTCTGCCTCAAAGCTTGCTGTGAGCCAGTGAGTGGCATCACCCAGATGGGGGACCTGACTTCCTGGCAGCACCAGGCCCTTCGTCCACAATCTCAATTTACAGATGAAGCAATTGAGACTCAGAGCCATTGAATGATTTGACTGAAAATGACACATTAGTGAGACCAGGCTGGTCCCCAGCTCAGTGACCTGTGTTGGCACCAACATGCCAGCAGCTGCTTAGGGAGAGTCCAGCTACCAGGCAGTGAGTGTCCAGGGGTGGAGGGTGACTTCCCCTGCTGCCTGGCTGCAGAGGTCTCCAGTTTCTCAGGTCTGCTCACCGGGGGGGAGGCTGAGGCACAGTGGCCACTATTTGTGAGGCAGGCCAGGTCCTCCAGGTATGGGGCCTGAGAGTTCAGCCCCCAGGCTGCCCCATCTCCAGGCCTGAACACATCACTGGAGGGGAGAGACTGGGGCTGACCCTGCTGTCTTCTGGCATCTCTTTCCCTGTCCACCTGCAGACTTTTGGACCCACCAACTGCCCATGTCCATGCCCATCTTGCCTGTGTTTACTGAGTATTAGGGAGTTCATGGCGAAGAGGTGGCTCTGGAGGACTGGGTTCTAGCCCTGCTAGGCTTCTTCCAAGCCATGTGACTCAGGAACAGTTACTTAAACTCCCTGCACTCAGAGGTCTCATCTGTAAAGTGGGGTGTGACATCAGTACCAACCGCGTCAGGTTGTTACAAACATTAACTGGGGTGACAAAGGGAAATCTGTCCAGCACCCAGTTCTTAGTCAGCTTGGAGTTCCCTGCTCTGTATTGTCATCATAAACATGTCATTTTGTGGACACAGTGCCCTACCCTGCATAGGAGGCCTCACACCAGACAAAGAGGTATCTCTGCCTTACAAATCCTTAGTCTAGAAGGAGAGTTGGACGTGCACCAAGCACGCAGGGTGATCAGTGGGAGCCACATCTTTGGCTCTGGAGAGCAGATGGAGGGGCAAGTTGATGAACAGAGGTCACCATGATACTTAATGAAACATTCATGCTCAAGTGTGTCACAGATACAATACCTTTCAGGGTTCTGTACTGGGTACAGCCCTCCTGGGCATAGCTGCTGGATGTTGCCCACATGTCTAATCTTGGCATTCCCTGGCCCTGTTTGGACACCCCTACCCCCAGCATTAGAGTCTCCCCTGACCCCTCACCCCCCCATTCAGGGCTAGGAGCTTCACAAACAGCAGGTGCTGGGGTAGAATGAGAGGGTGCCCACAAAGCTCCACACCAGGCCACCCCTGCACTTTACCAGGGATAGCGTCTGGCTTGGGACAGGCCCAGCAGGATGCTGTGTGGAGTGTCCTCTCTGTTAACCAGAGATTTCTGTGAGTTACCTTCTGGAAGACTGAGAGCGGAGCCTGGGGCTCAGGCTTGAGAAGCAGGGCTTTCAGGCTTCCCTCTTGGTGTGCTGGGGTTGTGAGCAGCTGGCCCCTCCCAAGGGGAAGGAGATCCAGGGCTGGTGAAGGATAAAGGTGAGGGCTGTTTGCATGCTCAAGAGCCAGTGAGTGAGAGGAAGAACATCAGCCTGCTGCCGAAGGCACCAACACCCCGGCTCACTTCGCACAAGTCACTGATCTGCAGAGCAGGGCCAGTCTACTCAATCAATCGGTGCTGACAGATGGTAGCGGAATCAGTGACCTAGAGGCAGAAGGCTCCATTTGTAATCCCGGAGTGGCCCAGGCGCCTGGAGGAGGGCAGAGGAGTTTGTAATAAAAGGAGTGACATGGGTTTCCAAAAGTCATCTTTGAGCCAGAGGAGGAGGGAAAGGATTAATTTTGCTTCTGGAATTGATACTTATTCAAGTTCAATAAGATTTTTTTTTTTTTTTTTTTTTTTTTTTTTTTAGTGGACTGGGTTAGTAGCAGGGGGAAAAAAGAACAGCTGATCTACTGTCTTTTCCTTAAAGAGTATACAGTCTAAAGGAAAACCAGGATCCATACATTTGAAACAACAAAAGAACAGAGATACTTATGTGACCAAAGAGGAAGTTATTGAGCTTCTGATACTGTAGTACCCTGGGCAGTAACTTAACCCCTCTAAGCCTCAGTTGGCTCCTGTGTCACATTGTGTCCACATCATGGAACTATAGCTACTGTTAATATGTGCCTGGTACTGTACTGAATTCTTTATGCAAATCTCTTTGGAGTCCCATAGTACCTATGTGTGAATAATAATATCCCCATCTTACAGGTGAAAAAAACCAACATTCAGAGAGGTGAAGTGACCACCTAGCATAAGAGTAACACATTTCTGTCTGTTGTCCATGATGCTTGTGCATATCCTCCCAATGATACCAAAAGGGAAAGTCACCAGAGGCCAGAAGACTTGGCTTGAACTGGGTAGTTTCCAGATAGAAGTCATCTAGGCAGTGTCCAGCAGGATCTAAAAGTGGGGCCAGGGTCGATCTCAGGAGGCAGAAATGCCCAAGAGCCTGGACCCAGCAATCTGTTGCATTCTTTCTTGAATAGGGCTCTGTTGAAGCCGGTCTCCTATCCTCATCCCCTAACCCTTAGACCAATGAGTGAAGGAGGGATGATGGGGCTGGAGGCTGAGGAAAGGGGCTTCCCTTTTCCTTGTGAATTCTCTCAAGACAAGGGTGCCCCCAACGCGGTTTTCAGGAAGCTCCTCTGCTTCTCCTATTTTTGTTCAGAAGGCGTGAGCCTGCTGAGTCCTGTTACTTTTGCTTCTGCAGCCCTGACCCAGGCTGAAGCCAGGCATTGCTCTTTTTAAAGTCATTGTGCCTGAGAATTTGAAAATGAAACTCACAGACAAACAATGGGAACAGCTAGAGGGAAGGGCCTGGTGGCCTGTTCAGCTTTGCCCCGGAAGAGTTTGGCACCCTGCCTGGCATGCAGGAGATATTGGGAATCAAATCCCCAGGAATAGTCCTGACCTGCATCGGAGCTGTCCCCCACTTTGACAGGTTGGACAGAAGCCAGGGGAAATCACTGTTTTCCCCAACCACATCCTGCCAGGGTGCCCAGAACTACTCCAGGCCCTCCCTGGGTGGCCTGAGGCAAAGCAAAGCATTAACTGCTCTGGCCAAATGGGGTGAAAGGTGAAAGGGTAAATCCCGGCCTCAGGGAGCTAAGTAGCTCAAATATAGTGGGTACCCCAGGCCTCATCTGCTGCCAGAAGCACTTTTCCAGTCCTAATGTACTTTGAAGCGGGGCTGCTTCAGGAGAGGGAGCCACATACTTCCCTAACATCTACAACAGATATTGGCCTAAAAATCAGCTATTTTAGCTCACATTAGGGACATCTAATTCAAACTCTCCTCCTTCCCATTATACCATTAGGAGACAGAGGCAAAGTAGAGAGAATTTGGCCAGGTCACTGGGCCAGTATGAGGCAGGATACAAATACTCCAAACATGTCCCATCCTTATTGGCCTCGCTTTGTTAGAAGGTCTCATGGCACCACCATGCACACAGTGGTTTTCTACAACAGATTTTCTTAGTGGAAAAAAAAAAATACGTCAAGCCCTTCTTCTGCTCTATAAACACATCAGGTTTGCAAAGAAGGCAGGGCAGGGGCTGAGGTAGAGGCACTGCAAGTCTCCCAAGTCTGTCGTGGACGCTGGGTCCGGCCTGCCAGACACTGCAGCTTCTCAACGCCGCAGCTGGAGAAGTCAACTGGCATTTGTGGAGCGTCTGGTGAGGTAGGTAGCCCGGTCTCCCTCCTGCTGCCCCTCGCTTTTACTGCGGAGGAAAAAAAGGCTCAGAAGGAGCAAGTCCAAAGAAACTAGGCGCCATGGAGCTGAGGCAAGAAAACCAGGCCGGCCTGGCACGGCCTTGGGCTCCCCAGGGCCAAGGGTGCTTGGCTGGCAGGACCGTTGCGGGGAGGAGACCCGGCCCTCTCCCGCGGCCTCCCCAGGCTGCTGAAAGGCGCGACTCTGGCACTGGAGGCTCCAGGGAACTCCAGAAATCCCAATGAGATTCCAGGCCACCAACTCCCCAGAAAGTTGGCTCCCGGCCACCCCGAAGAAGGCCCCGGGCGGGCGGCGTGCTGCGCTCAGCAG